ATCAGGTGCTTACCTCAGACACAGGTATTCATGGTGATTTATAGGCCATTGAGAATGTCAGCTTCCTGATAAAAGAAATCTGATTTTCTAGAAGATGGTATCAGCTGAGTGCCATTTATGCCTGAGAAAACTCCTATGTGCTGCAGCTGGATCCAAGCAGCTGGTTTCAGCCTATTTCAGGCACAAAGAACAGTGAACCAAGGATGAAATACTGCACTGATGTCCTATGGGCTGATGTGAAAGAGGACAAAAAATAGTTTCATCCAGGTCTATTGCTCCCTGCTCCCCATCCCCAGCACACTGACAGTAAAAGGAAAACAGCAAAGCAGCAGATGGGACAACAATCTTCTCTTCAGGTCCCAAATTTTTCACAAATTACTGTCACCTTGAGCATCCAAAGCTGTCAAGGGCCCAGAGCTGAGTGTCAGTGAAAAAATGTGCCTTCCAGAATGCAGTAAATTGTATATAAACTCACTGAGAGAATGTAGCAGTATTTCTTTCCTGAACAAGTCATAACCCCACCTCAGATATCAAAAGGCATCACGAGACATTGGGAGGCACCTTCCAGTGCAAGAGAGACACTGGCCCTGACTGTACATTTCAGAGAAACTGGTACCCCTTCAAACACCTAAAACACACGTGGCAGTCACCAGATAACCCCAGTCCTCACTTCTGACTCCAGAACCAGACCACTTCATACACCTTGTGACAACACAAGGTTACACAAAACAGGAAGGGGCAACACTTCTCCTTGAGTAAGTTATGACTACTATTAGCATACAACCCATGGCCACCAGCTCTCAGAGAAACAAAAATGGCAAAGGCCACTGACTTCAGAGTAAGAGAGTGTTTCCAGAACGTGTCTACAAGTAGATATTTCTGAATTTGGCTGGAGAAATGGCCCTGTACCAGCATCTAGTCCACACCACAGTAAACCTATTATGTTTTGTCCAAGACACTTATACAAGTAGTACGAAAGAGGAAGTTTTTCACGAAAGCAACACAAAATCACCAATAAGTCATCCATTCACAATTAGAAGGCTCGTATAAAAATGGTAACTGGAGTTCTCAAGAACAGTCACTACTCTCCCCTTCTTTATCCTTCAGCCACTTGTAGAAGACATAAAAGAAATGCAAAGTGTCTATTTAAACACGAACTCCTTATGTATACTACACACAATGTACATGCAAGTGACTGTATCTGTAAGGCAGATTTCACAATAACAAACTCATCTTAGCAAGAGAAACTCTACACCTGAGATGTGATGCTGGACATCTGTGTGATTTCCACATTCAGAAGATAGACTGAATTACTGTACCTCACCATAAGATGATAAACACAAACAACAGTGCAATAAGTCCCTAAATAAAAGAAACCAAGATGGTGAAAAAAGGCAGCTGGTAGTGACAGTACTTGATTTACTAGCCTAAAATATTACTAAGGGTTAACAGCAGACAGCATCCCTCAAAAGAACAGTTCCTCTTGTTACAGCTTGAAGAGAAAGGGGAAAAAAAAACCCAGGATTCAACACACCACCTCAAGAGCTTCTCTGCTGCTAAAAGCCATTTTTACCTTGTCTCCATGACCAGTTCAAAACCTCCCTGCTAGGCCAGAACCTGGCCACAAGGCCCTGCTCCATCCGTGATCCACAAGCACAACAATTTTTTAGCAACTGTACCCAGTTTCCAAGGTGCCCAACAGCCAGAGAGGAAACAGTGTTGGCTCGAAGAAATCCCAGAGAATGTAAAATTACTCCAGCCTAAGCACTTTCAGGCATGTTGCTGAGGCATACGTTTAGATACAGAGAAAGAGAAAAAAATAAGTGACCAGAATAACACCCTTTCTCCCAGAAAGGAGAAACACAAATGATAAATCCACCAGGGAAATCATTGTCTTGATGCAATCTACTTGGAAAGTTCACTTCAATTCTCTATGTGCAGTCATGAAAAATAATTTTTAATCAATCTCCACACTACACTGGGATTCTCAGCCCTATACTTACCTCCTATACCTTTCAGTCCTATATCAATTTTTTCTTAGCAAATGTTAGTAACTTATAATCCAAACACATGGCTTCACATGGTTCCATCCTACAGCAGTTCACAATTTTCTGTTGTTTAATCTTAGCACTAGAGAAAATAAATTCCTACAAATTTGGTTTTAGCTCTGATTGGAGTTTTGGCTGTATGAAAAAGTCATTGTAGGCTTCCAAGCAGATTAATTACCAGGTGTCCATGCCCATACAGATGCTTTTACCTGTCAAGGAGATGCCAGATAGCTTGTGGCTCCCAATCCATCCTCAGCCCAAAGGAAGCACCCACACACCTGCCCAACACCAGTGCATTCCATAAGGACAGGCTGACTTTATAGCTGGGCTAAACTGGGCCACAGTGGGCAAGGCTGCTCTTCAGCAGCACACTCCTGAAGTGTTTCATAGCCCTGCAGTGCTAAACCAGCAAAACAACCCCAAACAATTAATGCAACTGCTTTTCCTCCATTTAAAAGTAAACTCTGAAGACCTCAGAAGTTGCTCACCAAGGAATCAGGGACAGCCTAAGGCAAAGGGTAGAAGCCTGCATCCTTAGAGGGAGGGAGCAGCTACAAGACAGGCTGTGCTGTGAGGTGGAATAACATCCTAGGTCCACTCACTAGCTTATCTAGGAGTTATTTATGCATGTAAGACCAGAATGGAAAGAAAATCAACAAAGAGAGAACTCCAGAAAAGTTTCACCCATGCTAACCAGCGCACTGCTGTCAGCTGAAACTTGCTGGAAGTTCAGAGAAAATAATAATCCTTCATCGGCCATGTGCTTATTTGAAGAGGCAGCCAGGTTGTCAGCAGCAGCTCACCTACCCCCCTGACTGTGCCAGCCAGACACTGGGGCAAGACAGCAGCCAGTCTCCTCCATGGCACACACCAGGGGACAGCCAGTCTCTCCATGGCACACACCAGGTGACAGCCAGTCTCCTCCATGGCACACACCAGGGGACAGCCAGTCTCCTCCATGGCACACACCAGGGGACAGCCAGTCTCCTCCATGGCACACACCAGGGGACAGCCAGTCTCCTCCATAGCACCAGGTGACGAGGAGAGCTGGAGCCTTGGGAAAGTTCCATGCTGGGCCCCACTCAGGGTACTAAGGGGGGCTAAGGGTCTTTGCTACAGGAGGAACACGGGGACTCTTCTCTCTGTACATGACATTTCTTGCACATCTTTACAACAGGCTGTCACTCACGTCCTTCTCTGCAACACCTTGCCACAAAACCTCCAAAGCACCTTCAGTGTGCTTACCCACATTCCTGATTGGCACAGCAAGGCACAACACGCCTCAAGTCACTCAGAAATGGGATGACTGGGATTCCCAGTTCAGTACTTAATCTTCTAGGCAGGACAGATTTACAAGCATGTAGTCAGTTATCCAGCAGCCTACTTTAACAAGCCAAGAAGTATTTCCAGTAATTCCCCTTTTTCCTAACAACAGCAGCAGATATTTCCAAATAATTAAAACTCAGTATATAGAAAACAAGAATCTCTGCATCCCATATGGAATTAGATGAGTTAGAGATGGGAAGGAGGGGAGTGAAGATGTAACTGGAACTCTGCACATTGGCCTGTTCGTTCTCCCAACAAATGGTTTTGTCATCACCAACCAATATTTGAATATACCAATGATGCATTTATGATGAGTTTTGTATCAGGCATGTCAAAACACGCAGTAAAACCTAGAGCAAATCCTAGAAGTTAACCACAAGCACCATGTGGGAACTAGAGATACAGAATTGTCAGAACAATTCTCAGCTACAGTCACTCTAATTTGGCATCGACTTCCAGCACAGGGCACGGAGATTTCAGGGGAAAGTACCAGAAGCTGTGCAGCAAGTGTGTCACAAGCACGTGAGAAATTTTCCCCTAGTCCTATGCAAACCATAACTATCAGCTTACATCCTGACTCGGAAAAAAATTCTTCCCAATTAATAAATTAATCTAGCTGATGTGACTGAATTATTTTGTTATGTTTAACTACAAAAGTTCAACGACTTTACTCTGAGTTATAATTGTGACAAGGAAAGCCAGTGTTAATGTCTGAACTAAACACATACATCCTCACTGATTTTGATAGAATTACACATACAAAAAGTTCAAAGGGTTAGGCTATGTACTTCAGTGCACATTTGAAAGTTAATTAAAAAAAACCAAACAAAACCAAAACAAACCCCACAAACAAAAAACACTCATCAGACAGTTCTTTCTATTGAAGGACCACGCTCTGTTGCCACTGCGGCCCATAGAACACGTTCAATTCTCACATTTCCCCCGGGAGCTGACTGCTCTATGACATGTGGCCTAACCTGAACCTTCCTGTTTGGCACCCTCAGAGCACAACACCAAAGGACATAGTGGAAAAATAAAATAGGAACAAAAAGGGAATAATACAAAAAAGGAAGAGTATCAAATAGTTTTTACAGAAACTCATAACTTAAAGAAAATCTGTTTTCAGAGCAACAAGTTTCCTGGTGTCTATCAAAGCCGAGCAACTCCAGAGCTGACGCCGGCAGGGAAACGCAGCCGCTGGAATTTGATGAGCACGTCCTTACTTTGTCCCACTAAGCCTTTATTTTTAAGGGGAGCACACGGACCACCCACACCTTCAGGCAGCGGAACATCCGTGCACCCTCTCACGGGCGCTCCGGCTGCGCTTTAGTGCCGCCGAGGTCCCGCATCGCCCGCGGCCACGAGGAGAAACGGGGCTCCCGCCCGGCCGGGGGCCGCCAGCCCGGCTCCCCCGGCTCAAACAGCCGAGGAACCGAGGGCGAACTTCGTGCGGGATCCCTGCCGGGCGCTGCTGGCCCAGGCTGGGCGGGAGCGGGCGGGCACAGAGGCAGAGCCGGGCACGCCGGGCCGGGCCCGGGCGGCCGGGAGCCGGCGCGGGGAGCTGGATCCTGCGCCCGCCGCACGCCCGGAGCGCCGAGCGAGGGGCTGGGCCGCGGGGAACCTCACCTGCGAGCAGAAGTAGGAGCCCTGGATGCCCAGCTTGAGGCAGGTGGGGCACTGCAGCTTGGCCTCGCTGCTGCAGCCGGCGGTCTCGCAGACTCTGCGGGTCTCCACCGCCGCCGCCATGCTGCCGGGCGGCCACGGGGGAGGAGCCGCCGCCCGGAGCTGCCGCCGGCTGGGGCGGGCGGGGAGAGCAGGACGGACGGAGGGAGGGAGGGAGGGAGGAGGCTCCGGGGACTCAAAGCCACATGTAAACCCGCCTTGAACGCTCCCAGCCATGGGCCATCCACAGCTTCCCTGGGCGACATGTGCCAGCGCCTCGCCGCCCTCACGGTAAAGAGGTGGTTTAGCCTATTGCGGCCAGAGGACTGAGAGGGGATCCCGTAAATGTCTCAAAGGTGGGTGTCAAGAGGATGATGCCAGACTCTTTTCGGTGGTGCCCAGTGACAGGATGAGGAGTTGACGGCCATAAAGTAAAGCACAAGTAGTTTCACCTCAACATGAGGAAGAACTTCTTTACAATGAGGGTAACAGGCTGCCCAGAGAGGTCATGGATTCTCCCTCTCTGGAGACAGTCCAGACCCACATGGACGCACTCCTGTGTCACCTGCTCTGGGTGACCCTGCCTGGATGATCTCCAGAGGTCCCCTCCAACCTAATTGATTCCGTGAAGAATTTCTCGTAGTTTTCATCTGCGAGGCTGTACAAAAAATTTTTCAAGCATATCTTCTTTATTATGGAGTGTGGGCTGTGGTATGTAGGTCTGTCTATGTGGTTTATAACAATTCATTTGCTCTATTTTTAGCCCAGGAAAAACCATCACAAATTCAATATTCAGTAAGGCAGTAACTCAAATTAGAGAAACAGGCTGCAGAATCAAGGTGGCATTGTCACTTGAAGGATGCTGATTGTCTTCTGGAAAGAGAAAGATTAGAAACCAATGATCTGTCATAAAAATAAATGTGATTAATGCACATATTATATTTCTTCCACTTGCATGAGTTAGAGAGTGAAAAAAAGATACTACCTGTGTCTGTAAGGTGACTGTGCTTATGTTCTCTGTGTGTTGTCAAACTTAGTGTCAATGTAGAATCATAGAGTTGGTAAGGTTGGAAAACACCTTTAAGATCATCAAGTCCAACTGTCACCATTGCTCCACCACCATGGTTAACAGCAAATCATGCCCTTAAGTGCCATATCCATGTTTTTTGAACACTTCCAGGGATAGTGACTCTATCACCTCCCTGGGCTGCCTGTTCTAATGCTTTACAACCCTTTCCATGAAGAAAAGTCTTCCTAATATCTAATCTAAACCTCCCTTAGCACAACCTGAGGCCATTTCCTCTTGTCCTGTCACTTGTTACCTGGGAGAAGAGACCAACCCCCACGTGGCTTACAGCCTCCTTTCAGGCTCTTGTAGAGAAAAGATCCTTCCTGAGTTTCTTTTTCACCAGGCTAAACCCCCCCAGCTCCCTTGGCTGCCTCTCACCAGAGTTGTGCTCCTTCCTCTGCTCCACTGCTCTTCTCTGGACACGCTGCAGCACCTGAATGTCCTTCTTGTAGTGAGGGGCTCAGAACTGAACACAGGATGTGAGGTGCAGCCTCAACAGTATCACAGAGGAACGATCACTATCCTATGCACTAAAACTAAACTAAAACTAAAACTATGCACTCTGACTTAATATCAGTGCAAGATGCTTTTTACTGGTTCATGTCAATAAGCAGTTGCTTTCAGAGCACGTGCTTTCAGGCACAGATAGATGCCTGTTGAGTGGGAGAATAGCTGCAAAACACTTCAGAGCATGTATCTGCAAGATCCAGCCCCTAGTACTGGGATCCCACTCCTTGTTTAAATTTCATCTGTCTTCCCACTGCTGGCAAGTACAGACTATGATTTCAGTTAAAACTTTGCAGGATGAGATTTTGTCTGTCTTTCTACTTCAGTGCCATTAACTTCAATGAAACTACACCAATTCTTATTCTGATCTTAGTACACAAAATATTCTCCTGATTTCCCAGCATCCAGATGACTCCCCAGAGAGTGTGTTTCAAAATCCAAACTATAATCTCAGTACTTTCTGCAACTGTCTTATTCCCTGTGGTCTTCTGTCCCCATCTTTAATAAAGAATAACAATAATTTTACAAATCTTTATCTCCTAGGCTTAGGCTTATCTCCTAGGCTAGAGGCTAGGTGAAAATTTCTGCTTTCCCAGAGCAGAAAAGCATAGATCCTATTTTTTCAGAATAAGTGTATTTATATAAATCTACTTGATGCATTATGATAGCATTAATTGGCAAAAAGTGGCTAAGTAGCCCAGCCAACCAGAGGACAAGGGCAGCAGATACAGTGCACAATCCAGGTTTGCTGTGTGATAAGCTGTTTCACTTAGCATGGCAAATTTACCAAAGGAATTTGACTATTGAAGTGTAGTTGCAGGTGGACACCTGTGTTTCTGACAGTTCTCACCTTCTTTTCTCCAGTACTGATAACACTTGTATCAGCCTATCATTTGTAGAAAGTGTGAATTCACTGTCAGAGCAAATTAGGAATGTTTCTAGGGTGCCTGCAAAACACAAAGATTACAATAATTATTTTCTTAAACAAGTGAAAATAGCTGTGTTCTGATTCATGCAGCTCACGCTGTGACAGTTTTTATGTCCCCATTCTGAAGACAGGCAACCAACTGCCAACCAACATCATGAAATATCTTTAAAGGACACATAACTGAGTGCTTATTTTAACCTTCTTAAAGGAAAATGTTACTGAACAGGCAGAATCACTCCTTAATGACCCATGTGCTAGCAGGTTCTGTACTGTGAAAAATCAGTGCTGCTTTTCCAAGTAAGCAACAAACCAAGCTATCAAGCAAAGCAGGACAGGTAGCTTCATACACTTCAGTTGCCTCTTTGTTCCATTTAAGGAACCCTAAGGAGTTGCAGACATCATTTACCTGGTTAAGCAGGGTTTGCAAGCACCTGTTGTTACTGACATGGTATAAAAAACCTGAAGTATACTGGCTGATCTAGTTTCAGCGTCTCCTGCTCAGGTGTCATCATGTGCTCCTTGATGAGATTTCAGTACAATCATTATTAATAATTTAGGATACTTTGCTAAATTTTATGATCACCTAATTCACATTCTAATCCATATCTGAATATAAATTTCACAATTTATTCCTATTTTTGTCTTTCATCCTTACTGGGACAATGTCAGTATATGCCTGTGCTCATTTTGTAGTGGTCAGCAAGGAGGCATGTAATGAAAAAAGAGGATTCCTGCTCTAACTAGTAGACGGGGTTCCTTCTGTTATTCGGTTTCATTTATTTGCTGGATTTCTGAAGTGCAAATTAAAGGCATGCTGTTTCCCTGCTTCCTTAGAGAAGCCAAGGACGCTTGTATTAATTAAACAATTTAAATGTATGTGTAATTTAAAGAACAGCAAGCCCCCTAATTGAGGAATTTGCAAACTTGTGTACTCGTCCTCCACAGTCTTTGGAAAGAACACAGACTGCAATGGCAGATCACCTAGAATAACAAACCCTGAAAGATTTGGCCTAGGGTTTGCTGTTGAAATGGTTTTTAAACAGCCCTGCATCATCATCCCCGTATTAAAAATTATGTGGTTTCTGTGGTATTTCAAAGCTTTTGTTTTCCAATTTGGCCTTGATGTTCTGATTTACAAAGTGGACTGGCTCCTGCATCCTGAAGGATGTCTGTCTGTCCACTGTCCACTGTCATTTCCCATTATTTGGTGGCACACTCATTCTCACTGGGGAAGTTCACTGACCTTTGCTATGACCTTACCTGAGCAGAGGTCTTTTTTCTCTGTCAGGCTTTTCACGTCCCTTTCTGGCTGCCTGTCCCCCTGTGTTACAGACCAACCACACAGAGACCAGTGCATGAGTCGCGAATTTTATAGCCCATTCATGATGCTTGATTTGTGTCCACTGCTGTCCTCCCAGCTTCTCCAAAGTGATGCAAGGCTGGGAGAACGTGAGGGCAGCAAAGAGGGCAAAAGGGGAGGTCAGCGATGTCTCATGGGTCAGAGAGCAGCTGCAGAAAAGCGAGAGCAGCTGGCAGCTGAGACAGCTGCTGCTTAGGGAGAAAATGGCCACTGAATTTGACATTACTTAATTAAGAGAGCACCTTAGCTTGGGTCCCCCCTCCTCTCTTTGCTTCTCTGCATTGCAGCAGTGGGGGCTGGGCAGTCCCCCTTTCCTAGTGAAGCTCTTGGTAGCTGTCTCCTGTTCAGGCTCATTGAAGACACAATTAAATGCCTCTTTGTCTAGGGAGGGCTGAAACAATGCAAAAATGCCACCCAGGAGCCAGACCACATGCAAATGTGCACTGTTGTGGCTTGGCCAGATGGTACAGGCACTTAGAGAGCTTCTCACACCAAATGCAACAGTTATGTAGGTTGTGTGTGTCTGTGTGTGCATGCAAAAAAGAGAAATTGCAAACCCATCACAAACACCTCAAAGATGGCTACAAAAGCATGATCTTAAAAAGTGAATGGAAACCAGCCCTATAGGAAACATTACTCAGAGGAAAAGACAAACCTGTGCTCAAAGCAAAATAGTCTTTCTAAGAGCATAGGGAGAAAAAATAATTGTAAACATCCTTTGTAAATGAACAGAGTTGCATTAAAGAAATACCTGTCTCCATTTTTATTCTTTAAGGGAAAATCGTGTGGGATTTCAAGTTCTGTCCAATTGTCTAAGTTGAAAGAGGCTGCAATGCATTTTAAGCCCCTGCATCACTCTTTTCCCTTCCATTGGTGGAGATGTAAACTAAACTACTGAAAGGCCCATTCCAGCCACAATCCAAGCTGGAGCAGCCTTACTCAAAGCTAATTCCAAGCAAGCTTTAATTGTGGTGAAAAGGAAGGTCCTGCATCCTTTTGTTTTGTTTTGCTTTGATTTGATTGTTCAAGCTGTACTGCCTCTTGCAGAGCCTGTATTAATGTAGGGCATCAAATTTGCACTATGATGTAAGAATGGTTCTCTCTGCATTCAAGAACACTCTTCTGGTATCCAAGAATTCTAGCATTTTCCAATGTATGCATATGAAACTGGTTGTTTTATCATGGGACAAGATCAAAGGGAAACAAGCCGCATCTTTGTAAAAAAACAAAAAGGTGTTTTTATAAAAAGCATTCCTATT